TCTTGTGCAGGCACAGAAACACAGCCAAAATACAGTACCAGAACCTACAACCACACCCACCGTGCCACGCCTGGTCGCAGGGGCAGCGCACCCGTCTCCACGAGATCCATAAAGAGCGCTGTTTTCCTCTTGTGCAGGCACAGAAACACAGCCAAAATACAGTACCAGAACCTACAACCACACCCACCGTGCCACGCCTGGTCGCAGGGGCAGCGCACCCGTCTCCACGAGATCCATAAAGAGCGCTGTTTTCCTCTTGTGCAGGCACAGAAACACAGCCAAAATACAGTACCAGAACCTACAACCACACCCACCGTGCCACGCCTGGTCGCAGGGGCAGCGCACCCGTCTCCACGAGATCCATAAAGAGCGCTGTTTTCCTCTTGTGCAGGCACAGAAACACAGCCAAAATACAGTACCAGAACCTACAACCACACCCACCGTGCCACGCCTGGTCGCAGGGGCAGCGCACCCGTCTCCACGAGATCCATAAAGAGCGCTGTTTTCCTCTTGTGCAGGCACAGAAACACAGCCAAAATACAGTACCAGAACCTACAACCACACCCACCGTGCCACGCCTGGTCGCAGGGGCAGCGCACCTGTCTCCACGAGATCCATAAAGAGCGCCGTCTTGCTCTTGTGCAGCCCCACAGTTATAGGTGCACAGAAACACAGTCACAGAGTACCTGCACAGCATGTACAATCACACCCACCGTGCCACGCCTGGTCGCAGGGGCAGCGCACCCGTCTCCACGAGATCCATAAAGAGCGCTGTTTTCCTCTTGTGCAGGCACAGAAACACAGCCAAAATACAGTACCAGAACCTACAACCACACCCACCGTGCCACACCTGGTCGCAGGGGCAGCGCACCCGTCTCCACGAGATCCATAAAGAGCGCTGTTTTCCTCTTGTGCAGGCACAGAAACACAGCCAAAATACAGTACCAGAACCTACAACCACACCCACCGTGCCACGCCTGGTCGCAGGGGCAGCGCACCCGTCTCCACGAGATCCATAAAGAGCGCTGTTTTCCTCTTGTGCAGGCACAGAAACACAGCCAAAATACAGTACCAGAACCTACAACCACACCCACCGTGCCACGCCTGGTCGCAGGGGCAGCGCACCCGTCTCCACGAGATCCATAAAGAGCGCTGTTTTCCTCTTGTGCAGGCACAGAAACACAGCCAAAATACAGTACCAGAACCTACAACCACACCCACCGTGCCACGCCTGGTCGCAGGGGCAGCGCACCCGTCTCCACGAGATCCATAAAGAGCGCCGTTTTCCTCTTGTGCAGCCCAGCCACGAAGGCCGCTCGCTCCGCGGGGTCCGTGGGGGCAGCCTGCGGCCAGCCCACCTGATTCAAGTAGTGGGTCATGCTGGGAATGGTGGTGGGTTGGGGGAGAGAGAGAGTGGAATGAGAGGGAGGGGAATGCATGAAGAGTGCCGTCTTGCTCTCTTGTGCAGCCCCGCCACGAATGCTGCTCGCTCTGAGGCGTCCATGGGGGCTGCCTGGGGCCAGCCCACTTGATTGAAGTAGTGGGTCATGCTGGGAATGGATGAGAGATGGGGGGGGGGGGGGGGCGCGGAACAGATGGGTGAAGGAGGATCGGAGAGAGGAGCGAAGATTGTTACGTGGGCCCTGCCAGGGGCGAACGACTGGAGAGAAGGAAAGCACGGAATGGTGGTTCGCATGGCAAGCATGCAGTCACACGCACACACGAGAACGCGAGGGATGTGATGTGAGTGCCAGCAGCCAATTTTGAGTGCTCGTTTCTGCCACTCATTGCCCTTCCAGAGGAGTCAGTAAAGAACTTACAAGTCGTGCTTCTGACAAACGCACGTGACACGAGAGGGTGTATAAGAAGGGACCTATGGGATGTGAGGCAGTGTGCGTGCATTGCAGTGCGTACCGCTCCTTGCCGCCTCCGATCTTGAGCAGCTCACCATACAGCGGCACGTCCCATGTGATGCAATGCGATGCAATGGGATGTAATGGGATGTGATGCGATGCAACGAAGAGAGCCCAATGCATACCGCTCCTTGCCGCCTCCGATCTTGAGCAGCTCACCATACAGCGGCACGTCCCACGTGACCCCCAGCCCTTTCTGTGACAAGAGGGAAGAGGGGAGCGAGTGCAGCAGAGCACAGTACAGCAGCATGGGAGAGGGGAGAGAGAATGAGAGGGGGCGTTGGCTGGTGCGATCTTGAGCAGCTCGCCAGAGAGCGGCACGTCCCACGTGACCCCCAGCCCTTTCTGTGACAAGGAGCGAGCAAGTGCAGGGCAGTACAGCAGCATCGGATAGGGGAGAGAGATTGAGGGGAGCATCACACACGCACATCGGATGCATGCACCACATGTACCAGCAGCATTGGATAGAGGCCTCCCATCCCATTCCCTGGGCCTCCTAGTGCATGTGGTGCACGTGGTGTGGTATATGGGTGCATGTGGTGCACGTGGTGTGGTATATGGGTGCACGTGGTGTGGTATATGGGTGCATGTGGTGCACGTGGTGTGGTATATGGGTGCATGTGGTGCACGTGGTGTGGTACATGGGTGCATGTGGTGCACGTGGTGTGGTACATGGGTGCATGTGGGTGGGCCCATGTCATCACAGGCGAAAGGGGACGAAGCAGAAACAGGGCAGCACACACGCACCTCGCCACACCCCTTCCTTCCCCTCCCTCGCCCCATGCCACCGCCTCACCTCATGGAACGCCTGGTTGAATTGAACGATACGCGGTGGCAGTCCGTCTCCGTATCCGCCATTACGATAGCCTCACAGCACAGCAGACATACGTCCCCCATCTCTCTCCCCCTCCCGTCCCGTGCAAGCCCCGCACCTTCTCAAAAGCCTGTTTGAACGACACGCGGTGCCCGTCCCTCTCCGTGTCCACCAGTACTTGACCACATCCTCACGCCACACATCGCCGCCCTCCCCTTCCCCACCCTCCCCTTCCCCTTCCCTGTGCCACCTCACCTCTTGGAAAGCCTGGTTAAACGACACGCGGTGCCCGTCCCTCTCCGTGTCCACCAACACGCCGTCGCAGCCAAGCAACAGCCATATCTCTTCTCCTCCCCCGTCCCCTCCCCTCGTCCCCTTCAACCGCATCTCACCTCTTCAAACGCCTGGTTGAACGACACGCGGTGGCCGTCCCTCTCCGTGTCAACCAGCACGCCGTCGCAGTCGAACAGCAGCGCCTCTGGGAGGCTCGCCGCGTCCCCCGCCGCCGCCACGACGACGGAGTGACTCGCGCTGGCCGCAATTCCCCGCGCGATGCGACGCGCGCTGCTGCTCGCTGGCGACGCGGGCGACAGCGACAACGACGAGGGCGACGGCGGACCGGCTGCTCCTCGTCGCACTGCGATTGGCAACGTCGCAACATCTTCCGTTGCGAAAACGTTCTTTGCAGCATTGTTGGCGACGGGAGGCGATCGCGAAACGACAGACGAATGGCGAATGGCGCTGCAGCGACGGTAGCTTGCAGCCGGGATGGCGGCGCGCGCGGAAGACGTGCGGGATGGCGCGGGAAGGGAGACGCTGGAGGGGAGGTGGAAGGCGAGCGCGGAAGCAATGGCGGTGGCGGGAGCCATGATGGCGCGAGTGGCGGGCCGCGGGGGGAAGAAACGGCGATGCGGACGGGGCTGGTCACTGGTCAGGCAGGTGATAGCGAGGACGGAGCAGTGATAGAATCCGCTACTGCGCGCTCAGCACCGTTACAGTTAACTTTATGAGCTGTTAAAGAATGAGTACACGGAATGAAATATAAACTTTTCTAAAATAAACGATTATATTAGAAAACTGCATCCACTTTTATTTGTGATAGATTTCAGTGATTTATATGTTATTTAACCCTTTTAACAATTTATTTCAAGCCTAGACATTATACAATTGCTGCAGTTGTGACTGCCGATAAGCCCTTTCTTCATGGCACGGTGTGTACCATAACTACCTAGGGAGTATAGTTTGCATCTGACTGAATGGGGGACAGCAAGCAAGGCTCATCGCTGCCGTGGTGCAAGCTCGCAGGTTGTGGACTTGTGCTCCTCGGAAAGCTGGAGGCAGACAAAGCAGAACGTAACACCGCAGGTGCAGGTCATCATGTTGCATCCTCCGTCATGGAGGATTAGCTTGCGACATCCGATACAAGCGCGAAGAATAGGCACAGATGCCCTGCCATTTATTAACTGCACGAAGCACGGAGAGGAGAAAACGGTCGAGCCAGGGGCGAAGTCGAATTGCTTTGCAGGCATAGTTCAACGATAAGCCATTTAGAGCTCCTCCACGGCTTTCTCCCCACCTTAGCTGGAGAAATCTGGAGTTCGTATGTCCGTGCACGCGAGTTCATTTCTTGCCCGCTATGCGGCGTCTCTTGCGTTAGTTGATTACGTACGTGGGAAATGACCCTGCGGAGTCTTCGCAAAGACCAGTAATAGCGGTTATATTCAGCCCTTCTTCCATCCAGCACTTTTGCTAACTGCGTGCCATCACGTTGCGAGTTGAAATAGCGGAAGCGGGCAAGCCTTGTAAACACGCTGAAGGGTGAGGCAAGGGTTTGACACCTTCCGCCGAGGTTGCGTGCCGAGTAGAACCTCGGGTAGTACGAACAGTGGTAGTATCAGTACCTTCCCGATGCAATAAGCAACACGGCGAAACAATGAACGAGACCATGTCAAGATGCGATGATCTGAGTAGGAGAAAGGTGCGGGTAAGACTAGGTTACCAGGTGCGGCCGACGGTGAGGTGACAACACTGATATCGCCATCTGTCGATGCGCGCATCTCTCCCACGCGCGGCAGCTGGGCGGACAAACGAGGGTGGTAGCAGCGAGCCTCGAAAGGGGTACGATGCAACGTGCACAGCTCAATGTTCTACCTCGAAAAAACCCAACACACGGCGATTATGGACGATGCCTCCCTCAGCAAGGGAAGCATGCAGAGCACCCATACAGCTCTCATGACATGCACCGATGGCGCTCGAGGTTCCCATGGCAGCCGATGGGAAAATCTCGGCTGATGGTGACATCTCTGCACCCACACAGCTCTGTTGTTTGCGCCGCGCCAGCTCCTCGCTGTTGCCGAAAATCACGGAGCCTCCTCGGTTGGTTGACTCACCCTGCTGCGAGCCGAGGCGAGTTCGTTCTGTTGCCAACCGTCACGTCCGTTCCCTCAGCTCATTTTTCTCAGTTACTATCTAAGCTACTGAGGATGCAGTCCCTCAGTTGACGAGACGCAGCAGTAGTTTTTGCGGCAAAGTGTCCTCACCTCGCCAGTCTCGGTCCTACAGCCCCAGCAAGGCGCCAGAGGCTCTTTTGGCGGCACCACGCCTTCTAGTTTGGGAAGATATCTAAGGCCTCTCATAATCACTCCAGCTTGAGAAACATAAGGAATAGGTAAGGCTCGACGGGCATGTCACGTGGGAAGCGTTGATTTTCTTGTGGTGCTTTGTAGCTCGCAGATCCTCACCCTGGTGATTTTTGAGTCGATGCAAAATTCGTGCTCTGGTGCTCGCAGATCCTCTCGCTGGTGCTCGCAGATCCTCTCGCTGGCGCCTCCTCCTTCGCTCGTCCTCTGTTGGTACTCACAAGGTACAAGGTATGGTTCTCCACATGCGTAATTTCCCCTGGACGTGTTCCCCAGCTGCCGCCGACTGCACCAAACTTCGTGCGACTGCTTGCTTTTCCTCTGTCCTCTGTCTTGTTGCTTTTCCTCTGCGTGCGTCAATCTTCTTGCTGCTCAACCAAGCTTCGCACGTTTCTTGTTTGCCGCTTTGCACGTTTCTTGCAGCCACTTCTATCTTGCTGCAATCATGCGATTTCGTTTTTCGCCTTTGACACGAGATTGTCCCCTTTCACAATTGGACAATCTGACAGTAAGGTGTCATGTAACGCTTGGCTGCCATTGTGTCACGTCCAGACATGGTTCTGTAGGCCCCATTATGAATCACGATCCCATCCTTAGTTTCTGCCGCTACTCGTTATGTTCCTTGTTTTTTGGCAGCGACTCGTATCTCTCATTCTGTTCAATTTTATCTCACCAGCTACATGGTCTCTCTTTTCTTCTCTTTCCTCTCGCAAGTCGCCCGTGTCTCGACCCTCGTCATTTTAAAGGAGAATTTTTGTATGACCTTTCCATCACGTGTTAAACGCTCCCATCATTCCTGAGACTCGCTCTTGCAATTGCTGCCCCTTCCATTATCAGGGGTTCGCCAGCTGATCAAGGCTTGATGGCTACCCCGCCAGCGCAACTGATTGAACAGGCTGTGGATGGGAGAATGCTGTCCCTTGTGAAAGGGCTGCTGCTCGCTGTGATTGTCAGTGCTGCCACCACCAGATTCATCGTTTTGCCACTTGGACAATCTATACTGCGAATGTATGTAACCTGAATCAAACCACCAGCACGCACGTGGTACTAACTAAGCGATGCACTTGTGTTGTTTTTTGTCTCAAATCCTCTGCTGTAGTTTGATGTACTTTACCCGGTGGTCCTTTCATATCAGCACATGTGCAAGCATGCTTCATCACGTGATGCGTGTGCATGTATGTGCTCTCCCATCTTGCATGTTGCAGCTCCCATATGTTGTTGGAAGCCTGCAAGTGAGCCACCCTCGTATGCTTCCTTCGTCAGCCGCCCCTCATGTAAGCCCAATCAAAAACACGTTCTTTCAACTAGAGGTGATAAATCTTATTTTTCAGGTTCAGCTCGTACTTCTTATCTATGGTGCTGAGGTGCACTTTTGACCCTTTTGTTTGTTCCATTCATGCACCCATGTGCCTGCTGTTAGCCATTTCAGCACAATGCTGTTGCCAAATTTTTTGAAGGTTCTGTTGTGCCCCACATCAATACCCTTCTACCTCCCAAGGCTATGAAGATGACTACTGGCCTATTTTGTGACCTGGTGAGTGCATTTTGGGATGGGGGTGTTTTTATTAGGTATTAAAGCTTTTAGCTTTTTATTCGCATTTTGGGATTGCATGCATGGGTCTTTCACCAAACACTCTCCTTGCCTTGCCCATTGCAGGTCTTTAAAGTGTATATTGCACTTGCCAGTCTCGTGCCGCTGCTGTGGTGGAGTGACTTTTGAGTCGACTCAAAGGTCTTTCACCATACACTCTCATTGCCTTGCCCATTGCAGGTCTTCAAAGTGTATATTGCACTTGCCAGTCTCGTGCCACTGCTGTGGTGGATGGGTGTGTCGCCAGCACACGTCAAGCAATGGATCAGCCAGCAGTGCTCGGCCTCGAGGGCTACACTTTCCACTCTAAGGAATGGAGTTACGTCTCTCATGGTACGACAGTTTTGAGGCGCCTCAAAACTAAATGGGAGTGTCGCCAGCACACGTCAAGCAATGGATCAGCCAGCAGTGCTCGGCCTCGACGGCTACTCTTTCCACTCTAGGCAGTGAAGTTACGGCTTTCATGGTATGCCATGCCGCAAATATTTTTCTCACATTCGCCATTCTAGGCTAACAGTTAACACGTTCTCAAAGCTTCTCGACCTAGTCCCACATTGATTGCCTTTAGAGCACCGTGCCGAACTGGCTTCATCCTAAGCGCATCTTCTACTGCAAAAGAGCAAAAGACTCACTGTAGGTTTTTTAAGCTACAATCGTACTGCTGCATTGTCATCTCCACAGTTCTGGTTCGGGTCCCAGCTGAACCGTTTTTCAAATTTCTCGGTATCAAAACCCCCCTCCCCAACCGTATCTGAAAGTGCTCACACTATTGCCATTTGCTGCCCATATTCTCCTGATCTCCCTGCCCCATACTCCAGGAAGCTGAAACTCTCCCGATTTGTCTCACAGCTGTGTGAGTTGCACCCCCTCACAGTTAGATTTTTGCTTCACATGGGTGCTGCTGCTCCTGGCAATATATTTTGTTTTGCTTTGATTTGGTGCTCTCGTTTGGGTCTTCGGCTAGTTGCTCCCAATGAACAGGCAACTTGTAGTTGCAGCAGCAGGTTGTGTGCTTGTTTTGCCAGCTTCTGTATTATAATACTTAGCATATCACAACCCCTTGCCATCACACAATTCAACCATATCATTATGGCATTCACATGTCCGCTTGCCTGCCGGTCATCTTACCACAGACATGCAAAATTAGCTTTTTGTACACTTTTTACACCTCTCCACTAACTGACCTTGATCCCCCACTCCTCTGTGTATCTACCGCCAGTATCAAACTGCAACGAGCATGTGAAGGGGTTGAAATCAATCTGGGACGGCTATTGGGAGTCGACAAGTTAAAAGAGTCGATGGATATGAAATTGCAGGCGCTTGGCGCACAGCTGGGTGATACGAGGAGGCAACTGGAGCAGAGGGAGGGGGAGTTTGCAGTGGTGAAGGAGGAGTTAACAGAAGTGAAGGGGGGGTTGACAGAAGTGAAGGGGGAGTTGACAGAAGTGAAGGGGGAGTTGACAGAAGTGAAGGGGGAGTTGACAGAAGTGAAGGGGGAGTTGACAGAAGTGAAGGGGGAGTTGACAGAAGTGAAGGGGGAGTTGACAGAAGTGAAGGGGGAGTTGACAGAAGTGAAGGGGGAGTTGACAGAAGTGAAGGGGGAGTTGACAGAAGTGAAGGGGGAGTTGACAGAAGTGAAGGGGGAGTTGACAGAAGTGAAGGGGGAGTTGACAGAAGTGAAAGGGGAGTTGACAGAAGTGAAAGGGGAGTTGACAGAAGTGAAGGGGGAGTTGACAGGAGTGAACGGGGAATTGGCAGCGGTAAAGGGGGAGTTGGCAGCGGTAAAGGGGGAGTTGGCAGCGGTAAAGGGGGAGTTGGCAGCGGTAAAGGGGGAGTTGGCAGCGGTTAAGGGGGACTTGGCTGAACACAAAGATCGGGCCAGGATTCTGAGTATGCACTTGGAAGAGACAAGGCATGAAGTGGAAGACGCGGAGAGGAGTAGAGCAGCTGATATGAGAGAGATCAGAGGGCTGTTGGAGGAGGCTGAGCGGATGAGAGCGGCAGAGTATAGGGAGTTGAGCGGACGGGTGGAAGTGAGGGAGAGGGAGCTGGCAGCAGCATGCGGAGAATTGGAGGCTGTGAAATTCTGGCGAAGGGCTGTGGTTCAGGGCAGAATTGAAGTGGATGTTGAGAAGAAAGTGAGGAAGAGTGAGGGCGTCCTAAAGCAGACATGGCAGGTGAGCTGTATTCGAATCAAGATATGGAACGAGAAGTTGGATCCAATGGTTGACCTTCAAAATTTATTGGATCGGTGTTCTGTGGACGCTGAAGAGGATTCCATCAACATATTTCCACTTTCACAGTTGACTGCAAATTTGGTGTTCAAGTAATTTTTCCTTCCCTTTGTCATTTCAACCTGCAGAGAATCCTGTCAGCAGCAGATGAGATGGATCTGAACCTTGGGAGACTCTCGTGCCTCTCAGACGCCATCCTCGCCCACGTGTCCACGATGACCCACCTCAAGACCATTGACCTGGACGGCTCCGCCGGCTTCACTGCAGAGGGCATCAGCTATCTCTTCTGCCTGCCACGGCTCGCAGAGTTAGACCTGAGGAACACAGCCGTTTCAGACGCTGCCCTGGAAGGCATCAAGGCAGCGAGCAGTCTAGAGTACCTCTCTCTCGTCTCTACCCATGTGTCAAACACTGGCCTGCAGCACTTGACGGCTCTTGCAACTCTCAAGAGTGTATGGCTTGACAAGTGCAAGGGTGTGACAAATGCTGGCATGGTGCATGTGGGGAGGCTGATCGGCCTTGGTGAACTTGGTCTGGCTGGCACTGGTGTTAGTACGGATGGGCTGCACCGCTTGACCGCGCTCACCAGCCTGCAGGTTCTGGTGTTGCCAGCGGGGGCTACAGTTGACTACGGAGGGCTGTGTGCCCAGCTAGGGAGATGATGTGGGTGGGTGGAAAGCGAGGATCGCTGTACGTTGTAGAGTGAATATGAAAGTAAGTCCCAGGGGGCCTCCTTTGCCAGCAGGGGTTACAGTCGACTATGAAGGACTGTGCGCCCATTTAGGCGAATGATGTGGGTGGAAAGCGAGGGTAGCTGTATCGTACCGTATGTTGTATAGTCAATATGAAAGGAAGTCCCACGGGGGGCTCCTTTTGCCCGCAGGGGTTACAGTTGACTATGGAGGACTGTGCGCCCAGCTAAGTGAATAACAATCGGTGCCACGGGGGCCTCCGTTTACGCTGTATAAAGCCTTCAATCCAAGCACCAGGGCTTCATTGGGTCACCCATTTTCTTTGCTGTTGGATACTTGTTAGAGTGTTTCCATCTATACATCGGTTGGGTGTCACAATCACAAATCAGGCCAGAAAGGAAAACACTACAGCTTGTGTTTGAAAATCCAACACTACATATGCAACTTACGGTAGCACAAGCTACGGTACTGTTGCTGTTTCCAGCATTCACACACTCAGTCTTGACTGCATCAGTCTGATTAGCTCACTCGGACTGGCTGTGCAGCAGGCGGTGGTCCGGCCCGCCACCAGATCCCCCACCACCTCCCTCAACTCTCTGCTCTGTGCACGCTCAACTCAAAACTGGGTTCAGCTTGACAGTTGATTGGCCTAGGCTTTCATCCCGTCAGTTATTTCGACTGGCTGTGCAGCAGGCGGTGGTCTGCTACCAGATCCTCCACCACCTCCCTCACTGGCCTGGCTGCTGACTTGGGCACCATTGCGGCATACACCATGGGGGGAATGTCTGGAGGGCAGGGGGGGGATGGGGGAGAGAAGAGGAGAGAATGATTGCTTAACCACCACCTCCCTCACCGGCCTGGCAGCTGACTTGGGCACCATGGCGGCATACACCATGGGGGTTATGTCTGGAGGGCAGGGGGGTGAGGACAGGAGAGGAGAACAAAAGGTGTTTTACAGACTTAACAGCCTTGTCCTTGGAACATGCGGCAGATCTGGCACCATGGCTGCATACACCATGGGTGGGATGTCTGGCCGGGGGGTGTTGGCAAGGAGTAGTGGGAAAAGGTGTTGGTCACCTAGTCTTGGCACATGTGGCAGATCTGGCACCATGGCTGCATACACCATGGGGGGGATGTCTGGGAGAGCAGAGAGATGGAGGACAGGAGCAGAGAAAAAGGCTGTTCACAAGCTCAACGACCTCGTCCTTGGCACATGCGGCAGTGCTGGGCAGCATGGCCACATGCACGATGTGGGGGATATTTGGAAGGCAGGGTGATGAGGCAAGGAGAGGAGGGAGAGGGATTGGCATGCTTAACATAATGGCATGGCTGCAAATTTGGGCATTATGGGTACGTGTTTTGAGGCACCTCAAAAATATCTGGAAGGCAGGGTGATGGGGCAAGGAGACGAGGGAGAGAGATTGGCATGCTCAATAACATTGCCTGGCTGCAAAATTAGTCATTATGGGTGCGTGTGCACCATGGGTACGGATGCCCCTGGAAGAAAAGGATGGATTGTGGGGATTGGCAGCAGTGACGAGGAGGCAGGGAGAGAGGGGAGCAGAGCAACGTGATGTAGAGGCCTGAGCAGCTGTGATCAGGTGTTGCAAATCTAGATTCATCCATCATTTTAGAGCCTGGCAGCCCTCTCTGCCTGGTGTGATCACACGATGCACCCCACCCCACGCACCAGTCCACTGATCATACCCAACCAAGTTGCTCATGATCTCAATGACAGCACACTGCTTACGGAGCGTGAAGGGAAAAACAAAACATCGAGCTTACCCAGGTTGCTCATAATCTCCACCAGGGTTTAGGGTCTATGATATCAATGATACCGACAGCCTTAATGCCCAACAGCCAACAGTGCACACCAGCCACCAAGGCCCTCACTGCTCACCAGGCTGCTGATGATTTCAACCAGGTCCATGATCTCAATGCCTGACAGCCCTCAGCACCTGCTAGCTCTCACTACCAGATAGCCCTCACTGCTTACCCAAGCTACTGATGATTTCCACAAGGTCCATGATCTCAATGCCTGACAGCCCCGACACGATGCACACCCGCTCGCCCACATTGTTGGGCCACCCGCTGCTGCTGTCACTCGCCTGTTGGTACAAAGAGGGGAGGAGTAAATGCAGGGGTAATGAGGAGAGGGATGAGTAGCGACTGCCTTGGCTGCAAGTTTTGATCTCAAACACTCACAAAACAAGTACAGCAGCGCACAGCAGGCAGCGCACAACAGGCAGAGCACAGAGCGCAGCGCACTTTTGGTTGCGGGGCAGTGGCTACAGAGGGCGCAGGCATGGACGGGAAGGGCGGGATGACTTCTGAGTCGACTCAGAAGACATTTTCTGGGTCAAGTCTCAAAAAGCACACCTGTGGTTGCGAGGCAGCACGCCTGTGGTTGCGGGGTAGCGCACCTGTGATTGCGGGGTAGCACACCTGTGATTGCGGGGCAGTGGCTACAGAGGGCGCACGCACGGAGGGGAAGGGCTGGGCGGCCCTCTCCATGGCGTCCCACAGAGTGACGTCCGCCACTGACTCGTCCGCTGATAGCAGCTGCGGTTGGGTGCGGTTCAGAAAGGTTGGGTGGGACAGAGTGAGAAAGGGTAGGGAGGGCTGCGCGGCCCTCTCCATGGCGTCCCACAGAGTGACATCCGCCACTGAATCGTCTGCTGATAGCAGCTGATGAGGAGGGAGGGGCAAGGCGGTTGGGTGCGGTTCAGAGGGTTGATAAAGACGCAAGGGCAGACAGAGGTTAAAGAGGGAGAGAGAGACGGCCCTCTCCATGGCGTCCCACAGAGTAATGTCCGCCACTGACTCGTCTGCTGATAGCAGCTGCAGGCAATACGGTTGGGTGCTGTTCGGAAGGGTTGACAGGGAGACAGTGAGAGACAGAGGGTCAGGAGCGCTGGGTGGCCCTTTCGATGGCGTTTCACAAAGTGACGTCCGCCACTGACTCGTCTGCTGATAGCAGCTGCAAACAAAACGGTTGGGTGTGGTTCAGAATGGTTGACAGCGACACAGTGAGAGACAGAGGGTAAGGAGGGCTGGGCGGGTCTCTCCATGGTGTTTCACAGAGCGAAGTCCACCACTGACTCGTCTGCTGATAAAAGCTGATGGGGCAGGTGAAAAACGGCTGGGTGCGGTTCAGGTGGGTGCGTTGACAGGGACACATTGACGGGAGAGCAGCAGGGGGGAAGCAGAGATGAGGGGCGGATTGGCTTACCGAGATGAAGCTGGCCTCTGCTTCGTCCAGCGCTGCTCGAACCTGCCGTGCGGCAAGGGGGAGTAGGGGAGGGGCCGTGGGAAGGGGGGGTGGGAGAGGGCGAGGAGAAGGGAAGAGGGGAGAGGGGAGAGGGGAGAGGGGAGAGGGGAGAGGGGAGAGGGGAGAGGGGATGGGGAGAGGAGAAAAGAGCGAGGAGAGGGGGTGATAAGGGAGAGTGAGTGTTCAATTAAACGGACAAAGGGAAGAAGAGCTGGGACTATGACTGGTGGAACCGAAATGGAAGGAGTCTATGATTGGTACAACACCAACTTGTGTTGTGTTGTGTTGTGTTGTGTTGTGTTGTGTTGTGTTGTTTGTTTGTTGTGTTGTGTTGTGTTGTGTTGTGTTGTGTTGTGTTGTGTTGTGTTGTTTGTTTGTGTTGTGTTGTGTTGTGTTGTGTTGTGTTGTGTTGTGTTGTGTTGTGTTGTGTTGTGTTGTGTTGTGTTGTGTTGTGTTGTGCTGTGCTGTGCTGTGCTGTGTTGTGTTGTGTTGTGTTGTGTTGTGTTGTGTTGTGTTGTGTTGTGTTGTGTTGTGTTGTGTTGTGTTGTGTTGTGTTGTGTTGTGTTGTGTTGTGTTGTGTTGTGTTGTGTTGTGTTGTGTTGTGTTGTGTTGTGTTGTGTTGTGTTGTGTTGTGTTGTGTTGTGTTGTGTTGTGTTGTGTTGTGTTGTGTTGTGTTGCAGTGTCTGTGACACGAGGAGGGGTTGTGTTGTGCAGCACACGAAGAGGAGGAACCATAGCAACATTCATGGAGAGGTTGACAGTTGGGAGGGAAGTAAAGGCATGGAGAAGGACCAAGAGGGGTGAGGAGGGGCAATGGGGAGGGGCAATGGGGGAGGGGCCATGGAGGAGGGGGAATGTGGGAGGGACAAGCAATGGAGAGGGGCAACAGTGGAGGTGCAATGGGGAAGGGGCAATGGGGGAGGGGCAATGGGAGAGGAGAGAAGGGAGAGGGGAGAGAGGAAAGTGGAAACAAAGGGATGTGGAGAAAGTTGCATGAAGACCGCTCTGATATAAACTGAATACAGAGTGTGCTTTGTGCAGCATTGGCTTATCTCGCAGTGATGTGGAAGGCGGGGAGAAAGGAGAACAACAGGAGGAAACATAATCGAAAAGCAACCATGGAAAGAAATCGACTGGAAGAGGGAAGCGAAAGGGTGGAGTGCGAGGAGATGAACGGCTGAAGGAGGCACACACGGAAAGACACTCACACACCCACGTGTATGCACCCACACATATAAAACCACACACGCATATGCACCCACACACATATGTGTATGCACCCACACATATGCATCCACACACGCATATGCACCCACACACACATGTGCATGCACCCACACCACACATATGCATCCACACACGCATATGCACCCACACACATATGTGCATGCACCCACAGATATGCATCCACACACGCATATGCACCCACACACACATGTGCATGCACCCACACATATGCATCCACACACGCACATGCCATAAACGCACAAGCTCACCTACAAACAACAACACACGCACCTTCTCAATCTCGTCAGCCGTCAGGCCAAGAAGCAGCAACGCCTGCATTCACAGGAGGGGAGTGAAGCAGGTGAACATGGAAAGGCGCTCAGCACAGCACAGACTCTGTGTTCGTGTTTGCATTTAGGTAGGCAGCCTCCGTTATAATCACCGGGTTTAAGGACGGTGGATCTGGGCTTTCAGCAAGGTTTGGAGATAGGGTGGTACTTGGTGGATTCCTGCTGGATTCTACCCTAATCGACACCATAAAGATGTTGGCGCCATCCTTGTGCTACGCTAAAAATGTGCTAGTAATTAGGCTACCCTAATTGCATGGAGGAGGGCGTTGCGTAGCACTGCTGGTGGATGGAAGTATGGGCTGTGAGAGGGAGTGAGGATCGTCTAAGTTTGAACACAAATATGAGCTCAAACTGAAAGTCCCGTCGACCTAAAATTCTGGGTCGCTCGCGACGAGCACATAGATGTTCGTCGTGGCCTTCATTCACCCCACCCCACCCCACCCCACCCCACCCCACCCCACCCCACCCCTACCTCAGGGCCAAACGCCTCTGCCTCGTCAATGAGAGGAACAAAACCCTTGATCTCCCCATTGCTGCACCCCATCAGCTTTTCAGTTGACTCAAAACTTACCTGGCTGGCCTTCATTCACCCCCACCCACCCCTACCTCAGGCCCAAACGCCTCTGCCTCGTCGGTCAGAGGTACAAACCCCTCGCACTCCCCATCGCTCGCTGTACCCCAGCTGCTTTTCAGTTGACTCAGAGGTTAACTCGCCTTCCACCCCCACCCCACCCCCCCCCCCCCCCCCCCCACCCACCCCACCCCTACCTCAGGCCCAAACGCCTCTGCCTCGTCAATGAGCGGAACGAAGCCCTCACCCTCCCCATCGCTGTACCCCAGCGGCGCTTCCCCCGCCACCGCCAGCCCCTGCTGTCCCTCCCCCTCGCCACTGCCGCCGCCTGCAACACACCATGGAAAATAGGGGGAGCGGAGGGGGCGTGAACAAGCAGCACGGACTAGCCCTCGTCCTCCCCATCGCTGTACCCCACCCCAGCGGTTCCTCCTCCCCCCCCACAGCCAGCCCCTGCTACTGTCCTTCCCCCTCGCCACTGCCGCTGCCTGCGACACACACGGGAAAGGGGGGAGCACTGAAGGCGTGAATAAACAGCACGGACAAGCCCTCGCTCTCCCCGTCGCTGCACACGATGCTGCTGCTGCCCCCTGCCCTCGCCACTGCGGCTGTCTGCGACACATGACGAGGAAGCGGGGGAAGCACTGAGGGAATAATTATACACCTCACAAGACTAGCCCACGTTTGAGTCGACTCAAAAGTCAGCCCTCGCCTTCACGGAGAACCCCTCCTCCCACTACCAGCCCCGACCGCTTGCCCCAGCTGCTGCGTGCTGCCCGTGACCAATGACTACAGAGGAGACGGGGGACGGGGGACGGGGGGAGGGAAGGGATTCGTTGGGGAGGAGCGCAAACGGCAAGAACATGCACACGCGCGCCTCGAGACTGCACGCTACTCCTGCAGACCTGCCATCCTGCCATCCCGCCATCCTGCCATCCCGCCATCCTGCCTGCCATCCCATCCCTGTGCCGCCGCCTGTCGTGTCGTCACAAGTGCAGCGACCCGGGGTTCAAACCTAGTGTAAGCCCGCAGAAATTAAACAAACGAACCGCGGCGCTCTGTCAACGGCCCGCCTGTGCGTCTTTTCCGTACCGTGCACGGCGTCCCACAGCGATGAGCGCGCCACGGCGGCGCTTCGCCTCGCGGAGCAACCCGCGCAGCCGGGCAGGCCGCGCGATGGCCCTCGGATGAGCATCGGCGACCGAATCGACGGTTCAGGACATTGCGATCTCGGCTTGAATTGATTCGATCGTAATGGTGCTGTTGAGACGGGTTGTTGGTGCAACGGATGCAGCAGCGCCGCTGATGCGGAACCGCGGTAAAGCAGGGCCATCGGGGGCCAAGGAAGATGGATCGATGTAGGTAGGATGGACGAACGGCCACGTCACTAACGCACTAGGGCAATGGCGGGAACAGTCTCGTGAGGTTGAGAGAGAGAGCGTTCCGCGCAGGAACTGCGGCGACAAGCTAGGCGTAGCTGCGCGGCTGGGAGTTATCGAAAGAGCTGGGACGCGGCGTGTAAGGAGCAGCGGTACTGGACGACTAGGTGGTAGAAGTCAGTGCTGCTGGGGAGATACTGTGACGGGAAGCGAGTCAGCTTGTGATATGGGAGAAACTGTGTAGGCGAGAGGTTGGTTGACTCGCTACAGAACATTCGGCCATTTACGAAGGTAGTCGACATCTCCACACATCTCAACATAAGAATTTTAACTTGCAAATTTGCAATTAACAGTTCACTAGCACCATAAAGAAATAAATCGCGCATGGTCGAATGTGGTGTGAAATTTTCACCATGGAACGAGCGTGCGTAATTATGTTACATTGTAATATTTTAAAGAAATACTTACTGATTTTATATTTCGTTTAAAAAAAAATGAAACGAGCGTGCAATGCCTTGCTTATTTGATCCCTGACATTACCACAACAATCCTGAATTTGTTGTTTGTACCGCGTCCTCACAACTGGTTGCGCTCCTGTAACGAGTACAGGCTCTTCGTATGAGGACGACGGCCGCGATTACATGGAAGGCACTGTGCCTCGCTAGCCAGTTCCACCCCACGTTCCCATCCCACGCCATTCCTATCTCAATCTAGTCCTAATTTCGCTGCGCTGGAAAACCACGAGGATTAGAGCTTGCCTCGCCACGATGCACACGTGGCTGTACCGCGTGAACGCGGTCGTCACGCTCTCCGTCTTTCTGCTCATCGGCCTCAGTGTGCTCGCGTCGCTCTCCGAACGCCTCCACACGTCCTCCCCGACCGTCGATCTGGACGTGAGCTGGCCGATCATGCCTCGGGAGAAGCTTCGCGTTACTCTCGCTGAGAAGTGTCATTGATACGCGACGTCAAATTAGGAACGGAATTCGTCGTGGCCAGCCTTGTAGTCCAGCTCAGTCACGGGTTCAGTGATGCGACCATGCGAAGAAAAAACAATGAAATTGCGTCGCGTAGTACGTCGTGAGGGATTCCTGAAATTGAACGAACGTTGCGTTCTCGTGAAATACGAGTCCGTAGCGTGAGCCAACACAGAGGCTTTTGCTTTGGGTCTGAATTGTGCGCAACATGCGAAACGTGCAACCGTTGGACGTGCAGCTATCATCGATGCTCATATCCGTACCGTGTGCGAATTGTGCGAATCGTGCGAATTCTGCGAATTGTGCGAAATTGTGCGAATTGTTCGATGCGTGAAACGTGCAGCTGGTGGACGTGGAGCATTTCTGGAGGATACCGGGCGGACCCTTCCAGGGCAACGATGAGGTATGCCTTGAAGAATCCGCTCCTTGATGGCGGTGCGAGTGGTGTGGGGGTCGGATGCCCTGACGAAGGCCCGCGTCATTCGCTCAGATCTGTTAATCTCGCCCGTCGTTTCCATCCGCGCCCAACTTGTGCGCCAGTCGTCTCACCTAGAGTCATTTTTTGCAGTTTGGCGATTCTGCACCGTGTAGGTTTCTGGCGTCAGCTCGTTACGTACCATGAACCTGAACATTTGGGCAATCGTTACCCCACACCTCCCACCCACCACCGTCCTCCCGTCCCGCACTTCCCACACACCTCTCCCCGTCCCCCTTTCCTCTCCCCCTTCCCCTTCCCCCTCTTCCTTCCCCCTTCCCACCTTCCCCTTCCCCCTTTCCCCTTCCCTTTCCCCCTGCCCAGGCCGTGTTGACACTCAACATCACGGCCAACCTCACGTCGGTCTTCACGTGGAACACCAAGCAGGTACGCTCTCCTCTCCTCCTCCCGCTCCCAACTCCTTTTCACAGCTTGCCCCTCCTCCGCCACACACCATCCTTTCCCCTGCCACACACGACGCTCAACATCACGGCCAACCTCACGTCCGTCCTCACCTGGAAGACCAAGCAGGTACTTTCTCGCCATCCTTTTTCCCCACCGCACGCCATCCTTTCCCTGCCTCACGGCATCCTTCCCCCGCCACACACCATCCTTCCCCCGCCACACACCATCCTTCCCCCGCCACACACCATCCTTCCCCCGCCACACACCATCCTTCCCCCGCCACACACCATCCTTCCCCCGCCACACACCATCCTTCCCCCGCCACACACCATCCTTCCCCCGCCACACACCATCCTTCCCCCGCCACACACCATCCTGTCGGCAGGACATGCCAACGTTATCACGAGATGCTTTTCCCACTCACTCCAGTTCACCTTCATTCCCACGGCCTGCAGCCGCGTGTGCCACTGTGATTGGCCGAGTTGTTGCCTTTCCCGTCATAGTGCGCCATGGCCTTTCTTGCTTGCAGGGAGCATGCATGCATGTTGAGGTGACTTTTGAGTCGACTCAAGAGTCACCTTGCTTGCTTGCAGGGAGCATGCACGTTGGTGTGCTGGAAGTCGGTGTGTTGTCTCTTGCATCCTCTGCTAGGTTGACTGTATAATGGAAAAGTTACAGCGTTAGCTTTCCATGTGCTGACCACATGGCTGATGTTCTGCAATCCTGCCCCGCACACCACTCCTGCCCCGCACACCACTCCTGCCCCGCACACCACTCCTGCCCCGCACACCACTCCTGCCCCGCACACCACTCCTGCCCCGCACACCACTCCTGCCCCGCACACCACTCCTGCCCCGCACACCACTCCTGCCCCTCACACCACTCCTGCCCCTCACACCACTCCTGCCTCGCACACCACTCCTGCCTCGCACACCACTCCTGCCTCACACGCCACTCCTGCCTCACACGCCACTGCAGTTTCAGAGATGCTCGTGAATTGCACCTAATGCAATCCTGTCAACTCTGGTCCCTCCGTGTCTTCCGCAGCTGTTTGTGTTTGTCACTGCAGATTTCTCAACCCCGAAGCATCCTCTCAATCAGGTGAGCCTCGCAAATTCAGTTCGTCATCAAGCTTCATTGCTTGTCAGTTTCTCATGTCCACTCTGCATCATCTTTGGGTACCTATTGTGAGACCTCAGCAGACACCAAGGCTAATTGCAGCACATGCCATGCCATGTCGTGGTGGTTGGTGGGTCATGCCATGCCATGCCATGCTGTGGTGGGTGGGTCATGCCATGCCATGCCATGCTGTGGTGGGTGGGTCATGCCATGCCATGCCATGGTGGGTGGGTCATTGCGTGCCAGGTGTCGCTGTGGGATGCCATCGTGGAGCGCAAGGAGGACGCGGCGCTCCAGTTCACGAGGGAGATCAGCGAGTACTCGCTCATGGACCAGGTCAGCAGCAATGTACCTACGAGTCCAGGTCCGAATCATCTACTCCACATTCAAGGCCATGTTTCAATCATCCGCTTGCTGCGCTGCCCAAATAGGGAGTACTCCCTAAGCTAAAAAATACTGCAGTTCACGAGGGAGATCAGCGAAGTACTCACTCATGGACCAGGTCAGCAGCCATCCACCCCTCAACTCTATTCATGTTCCGTTCCCTCAGCTGCCCTCCACACCTCTCGCTCACTGCCTTTTCGCACGTGCACCCTTGTCTCTCTCACTCGCACATGTCTCTCCCACTCGCACATGCCACGGGAACAGCCTGAGGGGGCTGCCATTCAACCTGACTGTGTACTTGAGTGTGATGCCCAGCATCTCCTCTCGCTTCACCATGCCGCCCAACTACTGCCCCTTCCACCTCCCTTCCCACGCGTGCACCCTTGTCTCTCCCACCCGCACACGACAAAGGAATATCCTGAGGGGTCTGCCACGGTCTACTGGAACGTGATGCCCATAATGGGCGGGCGGCCTCTCCTTGACGTTTCATAATGGGCGGGCGGCCTCTCCTTGACGTTTCATATTAACAGCCTGAGGGGGCTGCCATTTAACCTGACGGTGTACTGGAACGTGATGCCCATAGTGGGCGGCCTCTCCATGGCATTTCATGTCACCAACTGCCTCTTTTGCGTGTTTCCTTTCCTTGTCTCACACACGGCAGGGCAACAGCCTGAGGGGGCTGCCATTCAACCTGACGGTCTACTGGAACGTGATGCTCATAGTGGGCGGCCTCTCCATGACGTTTCCTATCGCTGACTGCCTCTTTTACGTCTGCCCTTTCCTTGTCTCGCACATGGCAGGGGAACAGCCTGAGGGGGCTCCCATTCAACCTCACAGTCTATTGGAACGTGATGCCCATAGTGGGCGGCCTCTCCATGGACAGCATCTCCTTCCCCGGCTTCACCATGCCGCCCAACTACCGCCCCTTCCACCTCCCCCGCGACCCCTCGCGCTTTGGCTCGCAGCAGCACCACATGCACGACATGCACTTTGAGCACGACGCGGAGGGGCATGACGATGGGGATGATGGTGAGGGGTTTGAGGAGGAAGGGCATGAGGATGGGGAGGATGATGATGAGGATGCTTGATTAATGCACTACAGTAGTCCTCCGGATTGATGCCCTCCCAAAGGATATGCCCCGAGGTTTATTATTTTCACCAGCGAATAGATCAGTACTGTGAGACATTTTCCCTCTGTAGGGCCTAACCACTTTCCTAGATTCAGAATTATATTGTGAACTGCTAAAATCTGTGTAAAACAGCATAAAATTGTTTCCTAGGATAAGCCCAGGCTTACATATTTCATTCGATCACATGCCAGTGCCACCCCCTCCCCCACCCTCCCCTCTCAACAAGATCAGGCCAAAGAAACTATGCCCACAGGGGCATCTATCCATGCTGATCCGGGGAAACCATGTGTCTTAAAACTGGACCATGATGAACAGCAGAATTACTTGTG